GTTTAAGTTAATTTTAGAGTATTTTTGACTATTTACGTGTGTGAACTGCCAAAATTTGGAAGTAATGTTGAAGTTGTCATAAGTTACCACTTTTTACTAGAAAGCGATCCCGTCCTTTTCAGTCTTGCCCTCTCGCTCTGAGCGAATTTTTATTTTTTGATAGCTTTACTAGTTTTAGTCCCAGGAATACGATATTGGACGTAATTGTAGTTTATTTGTTCAAGCTGAACATTTGAAAGCACATTTGCGTAGTCGGCAGTAGCTGAGCATGCAGAGGAGCGTGCAACTATTTGTTAGCTTCCAGAAGTTGCCGTCAAGCGCATTTTTTATTTCTTCTTCCATGAAAAAGCATCTCTGAAGTGCAGAAGGAAAGCATATTGAACGAAAAATTAGATCAGACAAATTTCATAAAAACAGCCAAAAACTTGTCTGTACATTACATACTTTTCTTCCGCACATTTTAGTTCATTCAATTTTTTCCATTTTCGTATCGATTTACGGCGGATTTTTTGCTGGCTGGGTAGCAACAAAAATAAAAACTGGTTAAACACCGCAAAATTTCTGCTGTACTTACTATCGCGATGTACTCGTGCCGTTCTCTGATACGTATTTACTATATATTACATATGTATGTATGTATTAATACTATACATATTTACACACAAGTTTGCATGTTCATCGCAATGAGCGCAAGCATTTTTACAATTCAAACTGCACTACTAACTAAGATCGCAATAAATTAGTTGTATAACAACTTTTACAACGACAATTAGTTTATTTTATTATCTACATACATACATACATAAACAGTTATTTAAATTATTGTGTTTTTGTTGCAATCATGATCTTGGTATTCGTAACAGCAACTTGGCCAGCGTTTATTTTTCAATTATCTTGTTGAGATTTCTTGATTTAAAAAATGAAAGTAAAATCTTATTATTAAACTGTTGCTGTCATCCAACAACCGACCGGAAGGTGATCGACTTGGCATTGTATGCAGAAATTTGCCGCAATCAATGTCGTGCAGAGTGAACTGGTTTAAATTGCCGGTGGATAGATGGGGATGCCTTCATATGCCATCTAATAAATTGCTTTCGACCGCTTTGAAAGTAAACAGCTGTGCAGGTGGACTTAAAATTGGATGTTATGAACAAACTACACACACACAGGTAGATTTAAACGATTTAGGCTGGGCAAAAGTTTATATTATGAAAGTTAACATATATGTATGTACAAATGTATGGCTTTATTTAGTACTACACAAGTCTAAGAAATGAACACTGTGCCTCTAGCTCACGCATAACGCCCCTTTGTCAATTTACAGTTAGTCGAAGTTCTATCACTACTTATAGTTAGTTAGTCTGTTCTAATACGCGTCCGGTTTATAGGATTCAGTCGGAAATTACAGGAAATCGTTCCTATAGACAAAAAAAACCTGTAACTGAGAACACTTTTGAGAGAGTAACTGAGCAACTCTTCTTAGTCAGAAGTTACAGGATTTAGGTTCTTCTCCGTGAAAATTCATGAACATGACATGATTCATGAAATGACATTTGAACTTTATAGTAGAGAACACTGAATCAATTTATTTTTATTTTTTTGTGCCCCGTATGCAATTATCTAATTCCTGTTTAGAATCGCATGCAGATTCCGAAAATCGAGTTAATTTTTATTTTTTTTTATGGACAACTTTTCGATATATTTTCAATTCACCGTTATTCACCTAAAAAACTGGCTCCACTTAATCAAGTATAACTTACGGATGAATTAGACCGCCTTATTACGAAATGTAGAAGATGAAAAGTAAAAAAATTCCGGCGGTATATGGGGATAACTTTTGAGATGGGGCTTTTTCAAATAAAAAAATTTTAAGAACGAAGGATATATTCGCTGATTTTTTGTAGATTAAAATCTCGAGGTTGATTTGCAAGTTGCAATACAGAAGACTTCGTTATTTAGAAGTTCGACTATAGTTGGCAAACAATTTTCGTATATATAAATATTCAGCCTCATTGCGAGTGTCGTGTCGTTTGTAAGTCATTTTTCGAGAGTCCAGTCGTATCGAAAATTGCATGGCATTTAGCCGCATTGCGTAAACGGTAAATTGGACTAAATTGTACAAATGCCATTTTGCCTACTGTCGTGATGAAATAAGTAGACGATGGAAATCGTCGAAAACTATCCAGTGCTGCCAGGTTTTTCCGCTTTAATACACCAGTCGTGTGGAAAAATTATCCAATGCCATGCAATTTTCGATAGGACTCGACTCTCGAAAAAAGACTTGCACTCGACACGACACTCGCAATGAGGCTGATTGCCTTAAATCGTCGAGTCATACATTTCTGCCTAATTTACGACTTACACAATGAGGCTGATTATTCGCAAATCAACATATGTAGTTGCTTAAATTATCGTGCGACTTAAAATTTAATACAGGGTGCGTTCAGAAATGTATCAAGCCAAAGCATCAGTCTCTTTTACTTCTAAACTATAGTTGCCTTATTTACGCAACCAAGTTCCAATTAGGCATTTAATCGTGGTTGCGCATTTTGGACATTTCCAGCAGTAATAGTTTAGATATAAATGCGCCTGATGCTTTGGCTTGATGCATTTCTGAACACACCCATAATTTAGAAATCAATCACAGTTCTTTAGGAGTTTACTTTTTAGTACTTTTCTTCGATTTAATTGAAGAGTATGTTTGCTTATGGTTAATATTTATTTCAGTTTCCTCTTCCTTAATTAATATTTATTACTAGATGCGAGTATGTGTAGATATTTACTACATATGGGGAGTGTTCAGAAATGCATCAACCCAAAGCATCAGACGCTTTTATTTCTAAACTATAATTGATGCAAATGTCCAATATGCGTAACCACGGTTAAATGCCTAATTGGAACGTAATTGCGTAAATAAGGCATTTCGATCAGTTGTAGTTTAGAAGTAAAAGAGACTGATGATGCTTTGGCTTGATGCATTTCTGAACGCAGCCATGTATATGTATGTATGTACTAATTTGAAAATAGCACGAATTTACTCCGAAATCACTCAGAAAATTGTTCGCTTGCTTACATTTAGGCGTAAATCCAAAGTGTAAAATATTAATCGAACATACTTTTAGGCGAAATGAGTGCACGTAAACATACAAATACCTGCATTTTAAAGACCATTATTATGAGTCACGCACGCCGGTTGAGCGCCACAGAGCTGTAAGATTAGAGAAGGCGAGAAAAAAGCAGAACACAATAATTTTATGGTATCACAATTCACAGCTGAAACTTTATTTCGCCAATAACGCTTAACACCTATGTACATATGTAGGTTTGTAATTGTACCTGATTTATAAAAGACTTACGTATCGCGAATGAAAGGGCGATGATCCTCAATAAAAAAAAAAAATTAATTCGGTGCAATTCACACAGAACAAAGAAAACGCAATCAAAAAAAATGTTTAGGCTGTTAAATAGATAATCTTACAAAGGCAAAGAAGGAAAATAAGGTTTCTGCCTTGGCTTCGGTACAGCGCTCCGGGGGGGTTAACTCTACTGCACCGTAATGATCGCATACGTACATATAAATACTTATAAATAAAGTGGCACGTAATACTAGAAACACATAGTAATTATGCTAATCAACTAATTCTAGACAGTAGCATAATTAAGATCTTATTATTAAAGTCAAAGCTATTTGAATGATAGGAGTTCGGTGTTTTTTTGGCTGCTGTTGTTCTATTTCTTCTTCGTCGCAGTAGTGCTCTCATGCGTTGGCTTTCTTGGATCTTTCCATTAAATAATGCGAAACATTTTCGTACATAAGGAATGTGATCATCGTTGCTGGCACCACGCGCGTCAAATTGGGCTGTATACCTTTGTAAAAGCCTTTCGGGCCCTCATATCTGCAACGAGTTTGAGAAGAAAATAAAATGCATAGATTAATTAGTTAATGGTGTACAGAGACCTGCTTACCAGCTCCAGCGAACGTGCAAGTATTTTTTTTTTAATACGAGTTTTCATTCAATTAGCAAATAGATTCTGCAAAACTGTTTAGGACTTACTGTATGGTATACAACAAATTTATATAGTATGCAGAAAATAAAATCTTACTTAAGCACGTGCGCACTACTTACTTTTTTTTCGTGAGCTGCTTACACTATTTTTTGTTATTATTTAACAGAAGTGGGTGGGACCAGACAGTCATGGGTATGTGACCAAAGTCATGTTATAGTTTTGCGAACAAGTCCGATCACACACTCAAAGCAGGCGTAACAGAACAGGAATTTTGGTATCTACTAAGAGAGTACCTAAAATATTTACATATGTATGTATAACCGTTTTTTTTTTGTTTTCTTTTCGTGTAATAAGACAATTTTAACCATTTCAGAACAGCTTTACCTTTCTGATAAGTTTAATTAGGCTTTTATAAAAGCGGATTTTAATGTTTTAATTTTTTTTGTTTGATTTTTTTTTTTTTCATTTGTAATAATTATGCGTAGCCATTACATATTGTTTTACATAAAAAGTTATGAAGAATCTTTTTGCCAAATGAATTAAATTACTTAAAACTATTGTCTACATTTTAATTTTTCGTTTTTGTACGCTAGCTAATCTTAAAATAAGTAGAATTTCAGCAAACTGAAAGATATTCGGCTCTCCTATATTTGTTAGCATAATTTTGTTACACAACTCTCATTATGCTAATATTAAGTGATATTTTAATCAATTGAGCGTGCGTGTATTCGTTAATGGAAAAATTTGTTAGCTTATTTATACTAAAACGATGTCGCAGCTTGTCAACTAACAGCTCCAAACGCTTAAATATGTCGCTGTGCTTCCAAAACGACGACGACATTCCATGTCCCAAATTCGTTATTGCCAAATACTGACTAAAATGTTTCCAAATACGTAGACTGGCTCATGACAGTATATACTAATTGGGATAAACTTTTCGATGCACTACTTGCTTTTCACTCTCGCGCTAAGTTGTAGCCGTCCTCTTGTCCACTTTGTCAATCGATTTAATTTTTGCGAATCTTTCTATCACATTTTTAGAATTCATACATTTTCTTTCGATACAATTTTACAAAAAGGATTTTAAGCTGCTTAATTGTTATAAATTCAGTGCAACTTTCAAAAGACTAATTCGATTTTATTGTTTTATACATAGACATAATATTATTAGGTAGACTAAATTTATTTAAGTTGTACAATTTGGCGGATAGAAGGATGAAAGAAGTAGAATGTTTCTTTTTTTTTGTATGCCAAAATGGAAAGACTTACTAGCTAAATGCGGAAATTATGTATCACTATTAACTAGTGGAATATTTAACTTAAATTTATGTGAAGTAAACAGTTACAAAAAATCGAGAGTGTAAAAGGCGAAGTTAAAAGAAAATAAAACTAGTAATGTATTAATATAGTGTTTAGTTAAAATACAAAAATAAATTTCAACAAAAAACAAGAAAATATATTAAACTAAAAAACGCAGCAGCTACATAACTTCTCATCTTCTATAAATTTTTACATAGAATGTAATTGATACAACTTCATTCATATAAATTGTATATTGCTACTACCTACTTTAGCTTCTTCCATTTTCAATTGAATACAATGTATGTCTGCAGCGCATTTTCACTGCCTCATAATTGAAAATTATTTTGTTTTCTTGCAGCTAACAGCTGGCGTCATATAATGTATTTTACTATTTCATTTTCTACTTTCTTTTAATTAACATCAATACTACACACTATAGCATATAGTACAATATTTAGACAAATTTGTTAATAAAATGCTGCTTATTTATTCGGCATACATATACTATATCTATAATGGAAATTTTCTTCTTGAATATTCGACTTTATGTTTATGCGTGTATTGTAAGTAATTAGTAAAATTTGCATATTTGCTTTGTGGAAAATTGCTGCATACCCTTACTATTCGTAATCGTATGCTTACTAACTTGCTTGCTGTGTGCATTTTCAGCGATTTGCCTCATTTTATTATTTCTTTCTTTTTTTGTCTATTTCTAATTGGTCAGTTTCTCCCAAATGAGCATGACCATACAAATATTCGGTGTGACATGTACTAAATATGGTACTAGGCCTTTATAAAAACCACGCATATGTTCGTACCTCCATGTTTGCTTAATGCAATCCCATGAACCTGTATAGTTGAGATGATGATCCTGCAGGCGTGCACGTATCACCTGATAGGGATATGTTGCTGCAGCAGCGATGAGCTTCGATATGGCAGCAAATGCCAAATACTCAGTTGTGGCCTGCAAAGATTTAAAAGACAATAATAAAGAAGCGGCAAGGTGCTGAATATTTTCATTTTATGTGTAAAATTGTAAAATTAAAACGAAAAGCAGTGACTTTGAAATTAAAAAAAAAAAGAGCTGGGGTTCTATCCGGCTTTTTTGAATATCCTAATCCGAAAAAATCCGAATAATCGGATAAAAGGATAGCAAAATGAACGGATATTAACCGGATATTCAAATTACATACGAATATCTGAACGAATTTTATACGAATATCGTCCGGGTTTTTTCGGGATATCTTCGAGACTGTCTGCGATTTAAAAATTTTGTTCGAGATTTCCTTTTCATTAGCAGCTTTATCAAACTTTCTATGATTTATTCAGGACCCAAGCTATTGATATTCATTCGGAATTATTCACCTTTAAGATGCATTTATATTAAGCATTTTAGCTGTCGACTTTGAGGAAACAAGCGATTTTTGTTGAGCAATGTTGAATCGCCTACATAATCGACCACATGCAAATGCAGCTTTATTTTAAATGTTTTCTAAAACTTTTGGACTTATCTCATTTGTTTTCAGGACTTTTCAAAACTTTGACGCCAAAAAGTATGCAAATCTTTATTTTTATAAATGAACGCCTAAAAAATAAAAATGCAAAAATATCTTGTTTTTTCTGCTCAAAAAAAAATATCAGGACAACTTTACCTTTTATGTATATACTTTTGCCTTATAAAGGATAAAAGGGCTTTATTGCTAAAAATACGAAAAGCGAAAAGTTAACTATAATTTTTCACTTTAAATTATAAAATTACAGTTATCTCACTTTTCAAGTTTATATCAGCTTCACAAAGTCGATAATCGCGGCACAGATGTGGCCATTGTAACCACTCAATGAATTCGTATTCATAAACAGAGAAAACAATAAAAAAAAATAAACCACAGAAATAAGCTAAATTTATGGGTTTGTTTTTTTTGGCAAAAAAAATATTTCTGAGAAAAGTGCAACGTTCGCCTACTTTGTCGCATATTGACTCCGTGTTATCATTTTAATTATCACATATAAAAAGCGAATGTGTAAGTGAACAAATAGTCTAATAATTTTCTAAAAAGTCGCCCGACATATCCAACACATCAACTTAGTATAAGTGAGTTTATTCTAAAGTTAAACAATTTTTATACATATTCATCGCCGCAATCGCGTCATACAAAAATTCGCTGTTTTATTTGGCATCAGGCCAAAAACCAAAGGCATTAAAACATTTCTAACAATGCAGATCGAGTATGTATGGCGCGCGTGTGGCCACGAACATAACATGTGATCGTTGTGCGGGTGGGTAGAAATCTGTATTTCTTTAAGCAAAGAGATGCAAAAAATTTTGTTAAGCAAAGAGCCTTCAAGGTTTCAGCATGAAATTTGTACAAGATCACACAAAGAAAAAATGGGTTGGCCGATTGTATTAAATGTGTTGGCTAGATAATAAATATTATACATAATATTAATTCCATCACTCACCAATTTGGTGTCGATCGGCAATTTACGATATGTATTATAGTAGTTCTTCATCTCTTCATAGGTCATAAACTGCAAAGCTCCATGTGACACGCCAAACATGCCGGGAATGAAGCCCTAAATGTTGATCAATAGCATAAACGCATAAATATTTATATTCACTTCACATCTATGTATGTATATTTGTTGCACTTACCCTATACAAACCACGAATGCCCTCCTTACGGTAGATCTGCGCCAGCGCATGCACCATACCGCGATATTCCGACGCCTTATTGCCTGAAGCCTCGGCGCCATATTGTAAACACAAACGCGTCTTTACCACCCAAATGGGGTTTGTAAGTATGAGAGTGAGCACACCAGACTCAGCCGCGGCCAACATGTGCAATGTCGGTCCCAATGGCTGGGTTGTATTACCGCCCTGTATGAAGGTCTTTATTGTGTTGTAGCTGAAACCGAAATTAG